TTCAGGTCTCTCTTGTAAATGACTCGTCGAGGCTCAATGAGACTAACCTGTATAAATAAAGGTTGAATGGTTGTAGAATGAACATGAAAAATTTTTTTAGAGAGAGAATTTCTTTGAAATTGTCTTTGGTTCATGAGATATTTTGCTGACAGACACAGGCTTCAAATAACCAAAAAAAAAAAAAAGTTGTTTGCTCAGATTAGTTGCAGCTCGGGGTGACCTGTCCTTTCAGGCCGTAGCCCCCCAGCTGTGGAATGCCCTGCCCCTGTCTCTTCGTGTGACCGTCTCTGTTGATTCTTTTAAAACGCAGCTTAAGACATTTTTATTTTGACAAGCTTTTAGTTAAATATTTTACTGTTTTTATTAATGAGCTGTTATTATTTTTGTTTTATTTTAAGCCTTTATTATTGTTTTACAGCACTTTGTGATTGTATCTATGATAAGTGCTATATAAATAAAGTTTACTTACTTACTTACAGTCAGGAGTCAACCAGTAAAATAATGGTGAGGAATTCTCCGTGTTGTTAAGTCTGGGCGTGTCAGAGCTCTGCAGCTTAACTGTGCACAGTGGACTGTGTGCTGAGTCCATCATCAGTGGACACGCCCGGACACGCCCACTGCACGCTCATGGACATGTGTTAATCTGCATGGGAGTAGGTAGTTGTGTAATATTTCTTAAACACACAAATTCCCACTTACACGTGCACAAATCACAAGTTTATTTTACAAACATCAAAGTTCATGCTCAATCATCCAAGTACAAAATCCAATAATGGTCCATCGGGTCATCTGAACAGATTATTTTATGTGGAAAGACGTTTTGCCCTCTATCCAGAGGGCTTCATCAGTCTGAAGAGTCCTGCTTGGTGGGGAAACAGTTTACTTGGGTCTCCATCTGATGAAGCCCTCCAGATAGAAGGCGAAACGGCTTTCCACAAAAAAAACTAACTGTCCAGATGACCTGACTGACCATTATTGGATTTATTTTACAAAGTTACAAATCTAATTTATAAGCACAAAATATTTATGAGCAGAGTTTGTGTCCAAAAGAAAACTGGTAGCTGATTTGTTGAAGCTAAAACAAGCAGAACCAAATCTACGTTTAGCAAAACAATAGTTAAAAGCTTAAATTAGCTAAATGGTATATAAAAGCATTCATACACCATCGGTGTAAGAATGTGATGAAGCACTAAATAGTCTCTTTAGAATGATGTGTTCAATTAGATTTGTAGAGATCTAGTAGAGTGCTGTGTGAATGGGTAAATGAGGACACAGATTGTAGTGTAAAGCGCTTTGAGTATCTTGAAATAAGATGGAAAGGCGCTATATAAATACAGTCCATTTACCATTTAATGGATTAAACCATAGCAAAATGCTAAATTTAACTAAACTTATAGAAGAGTTAAAATAAGCAAAACAGTAGCTAAAAGCTAAAATGGGAAAAACAGTAGCTAAAAGCTTAAAGTAGATAAGAAGACAAAAAGTAGAGCATGTATGCTCAGGTAAATTTTACAAAGCTTTAATGTCTTAAAGCAACTGAGGCGTCTTACCATATTTCTATTGGAGAATAGTTTTTAAATAAAACGAAACAATTCAAAAAGTGGTTACGAAAACCAAAAGCAACAGCTCACTGTCCCCAGTCCAGATGAACATTTTGATAAATGAATAAAAAGCACTAAGAATGTGGAAGTAGTGTCTGATTGCAAAAACACATATCAACAGGAACACAGCAGTATGAATGCTGACTCAGCAGTTAATACTATTACTATGTAATTTGCTACATCTGATCCATCCTTATATTTCCTTTGCCCACTTTTCCAGCAGTCCCTCTGTGAGAAGCTGGGAACTCCCTGGACCCGTCATTATTTGTTATGTGCCATTAAATTAAAAACTGACAATAAATTGTTGACCTGTATTTTTGCATGTTAGGACTAATGAAGGGATGAAACTATCCTTTGATGAAAGGTAAACACTGAACTACACTATATAGTCTGTAAATACTAACGTTGCGTGAAATTAATAACGGACCTTGACGTAATGCACCTCTCGTGTCAGAGATTAGAATAACGTTGTTCTACGCTGAGAAAGACACATCTGTACCTGATGCAGTCAAACCGTAGAAAGTTTGTAAGGTCATGCCAGGACGCCACACTCAGAGGATGAGTTGTGAATGACTCTCTGCTACCACTACCTCAGTATCTGTACAGCTCACCAGGTTACACACAGTTTAGTCTCCTAAGGTCAGCTGGCTGTGGTGGCCATCTTGAACTGGACTGACTCCACACTTTAAGCAGTTGAATAGCCAAATGCTATCCAGCCAGTAGTTAATAAGATATTTTACTAACAGGAGTTTACTTCAAATGGTTAATGGCAATATTTGAAAAAACTGTCTGAACAAATTGTTAGAGTTCAGAATATGAGCTGCTAATTCAGCTCAGCTACTACCATGCCTTATTTCTGGTTAATATGTATAAAACTGGGCAGCACGGTGGCGCAAATGGTAGAGCTGCTGCCTCTCAGCGAGCAGGTCCCTGGTTCAAACCCCGGTCCAGGGGCCTTTCTGGGTGGAGTTTGCATGTTCTCTCCGTGCATGCGTGGGTTTTCTCCGGGTACTCCGGTTTCCTCCCACAGTCCAAAAACATGCATGTTAGGCTGATTGGTAACTCTAAAATTGTCCCTAGGTGTGAGTGAGAGAGTGAATGGTTGTTTGTCTCGTTTGTCTCTGTGTGGCCCTGTGATGGACTTGCGACCCGTCCAGGGTGTACCCCGCCCCTCGCACAGTGATTGCTGGACATGGGCACCAGTGACCCCCGTGACCCAAAATGGAATAAACAGGTAAAGAAAATGGATGGATGGATGGATGTATAAAACTGACTGAGCTAAAGCCATCCTGTGTTTTATAAATATCTTTTGGCTGTGGGGGCCATGTTGAGCTGAGTTAACTACAAATGTTTATGAGTTGTACACGTACATTCAGCAATTACTTTCTGAGTTTCATTAGAATACGTCCGATACAAGATTCTTTCCTCACAGACACAAATACACATTGTTTGTTGACAGTTCCATTCAGTAATAAGCAATAAAAATAAACCATATACAATTGTTCTAAAAAACAATTAGAATAAACATAAAAATAGCTACTTTAAATTACTTCAACTTTTACTTTAATTAAAGGTAAGTCTGTTTTTATGACTTGTAACAGTAATATGTTATATGAAATGTTTTATTTTCTGGTAGGTTTCAGAAAAGAACAATCTGTGTGGCTGATTAAATTAATAAAATGCCCAACAGGCTACTAGTTCAAAGTTCAACCTGTCTGGCTCCTTGTCTTATCTGTCTCAAACATTTCATCACACTTAAAATCAAACAGGAAAACTGATGAAAACAGCCCTTTCTATTGTGTGTATAAATATAAATGTGAATCATCCTCGTGGTGTTTTTGATCAAAGACCACATGTGGCCCCGGAGCCGCAACTTGCAGCCCCTGCCCTGACAGCTGCAGCCTGCAGGGACGGAGCAGCTGAAGGCACAGCGAGCTAAAGTTGTCCTCTGAAGCGCAAAGATGGATCCTACCTCAGCTTTCTTTGAGCATACAGAGGAGAGTCGGATCCAGCTGTGATCCAGATGTGGAAACCTCAGGTCAGAGTGTTAAAAAGAGCAGCCCTTAACTCCGCTCCACGTCATAGCCGCAGCGCCTCCGCCCGACACACGTTCTGCGCATGCGCGCCCAACCGGACACTTCCCCACATCAAACATCTGTTCTGCTCTCACGAGCGGCGAAACAATTTTATTAGTCATGTCAAATGTTACCTCTGACCTCTGCTTGTTTTTAACTAATATTTATGTGATTCAAGCCACAATAAGCTATTTATAGTCAATCACGTCCACTCAGTACTCTGATTACTGAGGGACTGCCAACAAAGGCGGGTGATATGCAAGGCCTTTATTTACTCACTGAGAGTAAAAAAAGTGCAGAGCACGTTTTCACATAGGTAAAGCTTAAAACATATTAGACTTAAGTGCTCAGATAACCCCATGTTAGTAACACATCTACTTATGAGTAGGATATGCTCAGTTTTTCTAACAATACTTCAGTTTATCTGTTTGTTAAAAAAAATAATAATAATAAATATATATATATATATATATATATATATATATTTATATATATATATATATATATATATATATATATATATATATATATATAAACTTTTATTTCATGCAGCTGATTGAAACAAAGCTCGACTCTGTTTTCCACCTAACCACAAAGTGCCTGATTATTAGTCAATTAGCTGTTATCAAAATACAATGATGTTTTTCTCTTCAGGTTAGGTCTTCCTTTTTTTTTTTTTTTTTGGTCTAAGTATCTCATTCATGTCAGTCTTAAGTTATTCAACAAACCAAAAACATAACGTTTGTAAATTAGGATCTGCAAATACATGTTTTACAGAAGCTAGTGTTGATTAAAAACTTAGAAAGATATTCAAAAACCATGTCATAGTTTATTGCAGTATTTTTCGTATGTGCCTATAACATAATAATTACTTTGTTTGTTGGGCTGTTTAACAAGCATGTGCTCGAGACATCACATAATAAAAGGCTACTTGGGCACTAGAGTTTTAGTATTTTACTGACAATGAAACAACTTATTTGATCAAAGTGTAATCGTAATAAGACATTCAAAGGTAATAACTGAACTAACCTTTCGTTCAATGTGCTCAAATCACGTCCAAGCATTTGTCCATGAACTTACCAAAACTCTTGTTTTTTTTAGCAGCAATGTTTAGCTAGATTGAACCTACTTCCGCATTGGTAAACGGCTGTGTCGGGATGCATTTATTTTGTTTAATATTGGAGAAAAGCTAAGTTTTGATGAAGGCGGTGAATTGGATCATGAGTACAACGATTGACGTGCCGCCCGTTTAATTTGTCTATAAACAACAAATGAAGCGCCTCCAGACACGGCTGCGGTAGCGTCTCTCCGGTCACGTGACTGGAGGTCCCAGGTTGTTACAGTATGGCGGAGCAGACACTGACAGCTAACAGCGGGTGAGTTTATATTATTCACTGCAGTTATGTGAGAACACAGTGAGCGGTTTTGTGCAACTCTCTTAAAACCCTTCATGTAACGAAAATACAAAACTTTTTTTGTCCCTGTGTGAAGTCAACATCGTTGGCGCTTCTCACGTTTACATTTTTGTAATAACTTATGCACTTATGGCGAATGGGTATAGTTTTTCCTAACGTTAATAAAATAAACTATTGTTTATCCAGACTTTCTCACTAAGGCTTAAGATATTAAAACAATGTAATCAGAAGGTGAGGTGTGTACTTTGTTGTTCTGGGACAGATTGTGCTAGAGATGATGCGTTCACTGCCTGCTGGGATGTTTAGCTTTAGGTTGTTTACAATGTTTTAGGACACGTGTTTCAATATGTAGAGTAATTTATTTTCAGTGTTGGTTCAAGTATCAAAATTATTATATTTCTTATATTCTGTCGTAGAAAATAAAGGAATATGAATATGTGAAGTTTATAGTAACATTTGTGAATAATTTAATATACAGATGTTTTTGTTATCAACAATAATAAACAATTTAGAGCGAGTCCCTTTGGCACATTGTTAAGCAGAGTATCAGCTGATGTCTGTGTGTCTGCATTTATTCCTTTGTACTTTCATTTTGTTGTGCCTCTAGGGCTGTGCAGAGAGTGTTGTCTGTTGCTGGTGTGCACAGTCTGGCCAGCAGCCTGTGGAGGTACGTGGACAACACAATAAGGTAATTACTGGTTCAGTCATCCCTGTACTGGCCCTCATTCTGCTTGTCTGGCCTTCTAACTTGATGTAGCACAGTTAAAGTCCACCGTCACCCTGAAGTGTAGTTACAGTTTTGTAACTGCTTTTTTTTTTCATTCAACCTTTATTTAGACAGGTAAATCCCATTGAGCCTTGAGGACTCATTTACAAGAGAGACCTGATTTCAACAAAGAATGATTACAACAATGGACAACAGCGAAAACAATAAACAGTTATAAAAGGTCATACTACAGTTTTTTTTTTTTTTTTTTTAACAAATAAAATGGCTAAAAGAAAAAGGTAACAAAAAAACAGCTAGATTCTAAGGCAAATGTAGAAAACTAAAAACAGGAACATGTCTGCATTGGTCTCTGCCAGGAGTCCAACAGATTCTTAGGTCGTTTTCACACTAGATAGTCCGGTAGACTTGGTTCGGTTCGGGACCAATATTCATGACCTTTTGTTTACATTTGAGCTGGTGAGTTTGCATTCACACTGCACTGTGCAGTCAGTCAACCTGTTGAACCAACCTGTTCCCCCGCTCGCCTGTGGGGGCGCTGCACCAAGAACTACTGAAAGAAACGACACAAAAACCTCTGAAGACACGTCTTCTTCTTCTTCTGTAAATAAAAATAAAATGAAGTGGCATCAAGTTTTAGCAGTTTTAGGAGTTATATTTTGTCATTTTTCAAAAATGGACTTAGCATGAGCAGAAGATGAGACAGAAGACCCTGGAGAATATTGTTTTTCCACACAAGGCAGCTGACAGCTCCATATAAGGTAAGAGAAATGCGTGTTTGTTTACCCTGCGGAGTGGTCCGGTCTGTTTACATTCACACTGCACTCGAACTGCGCTGGAGTTCGCTTCTACCGGACCGAGACCTAGGTTTTAGCCCGGGCCAGAGTTCGCCTTTTTGTTCCGTGACAGAGTTCGATGGTGCGTTCACACCTCCCTAAACGAGCCGGACTTTCTAGGAAAACGAGCTAGAGTTCGATTAAAGTGGACTAAACAGGGCTAGTGTGAATGCACCCTTAAAGCCACTTAGAGAGGTCAAGGTCGAGAGCTTCAATTGTTTTTGTAATGTATTCCAGGAAACAGAAGCAGAGTAGGAGAAGGCCCTCTTGCCTAGTCCTCATTGAGGGAACACTGCAGGTAATAATATCCTGAGAGCACACGCCGTAGCTGCACTCACACAGAGACATGTAGGAGGAGATGTATGAAGGCAGCAGCCCAAGAAGTGATTTAAAGATGAAAATGTACCAGTGAGAGAGTCTGCATGAAGTTAATGATGTCCAGTTAACCAGTGAATACAGGGTGCAGTGGTGGGTACAATAATCACAGCCAGTTATGAATCGTAGTGCACCATGATAGACAGCATCCAACATCTGCAGGGTTCTTGTAGGAGTGTTCATGTAAATAATGTCACCGTAATCAATGGAGGGAAGGAAAGTCACAGATACAAGGCATTTCCTAGCATTCAGGGTTAGACAGGATCTATTTCTGAAAAAGAAACCCAGTTTAACTTTCAGTTTCTTTACCAAGTTTTCCACATGGAGCTTAAAAGAGAGATGTGAGTCGACCAAGATACCCAAATATTTATAGGAATCAACAAACTCAATGGGGACACCATTTGAGGATAAAATCTGAGGAAGAACTGCTGGGACCAACTTCCTATTTGGAAAAAATCATCCCTTTGGTTATGTCGGCATTTAGGACAAGTTTGAGGTGGAACAAATCTGTCTGGATGTAGTTGAATGCAGATTTCAAAAGCTGGAAAGCCTTATCAACAGTTTTAGCTCGACAATAAACAACTGTGTCATCAGCATAGAAATGTATGCATGCATTAGGGATGTTTTTACCTACATTATGTATGTAGATTGTAAAGAGGGTGGATCCTAAGACTGAGCCTTGTGGTACACCATTGTTGACTGTTAAATAACTGGAGGAAGTACCATTATGTTGAACACATTGCTTCCGGTCTGAAAGATAGTTAGAGAACCAGCCAATGGTGTGATCTGAGAAACTGATTTCTGAGAGTTTATGACACAAGATGTTATGATCCACAGTGTCAAAATCTTTGGACAGGTCTAAGAAAAGTGCAGCACAATAATCCTTAGCATCCAGTGCTTCAACGATGTCATTAAGAACCTTCAGTGAAGCAGTGGTTGTGCTGTGTTGCTTCCTGAAACCCGATTGATGTTGAGGTAACATGTTAAATGAGTCCAGGTAATTTTTGATTTGAGAGTTTATCAGTTTTTCTAGAACCTTGGCTAAAATGCAGAGTTTAGAGATTGGCCGATAGTTGTTCAGTGAGGTGGGGTCACCTCCCTTCAGCAAAGGAAGAACAAAGGCTGTTTTCCAAGCGTCTGGGATGGAGTTTTGTCTTATGGAGAGATTGAAGATGTGGGTCACAGGGACTGTGATGATATGAGCAGCCAGCCTTAAGAAATAAGGTGGAAGTTCATCTGGACCTGCAGATTTTTTAGGATCAAGATCTTTTAACAGTTTATTAACCTCACTGACTGAGAATGGAGAAAAAGAGAAGCTGTGTTTAACTGAGGATTGACTTGTAGGAGGGATCTGATTTGTAGAAGTTTGGTTATTAAGTGAAGTGGCTGATTTTCTGTTAGTAACTGTGTCAAATAAACAACTAGAAGCAACAAAATGTTTGTTGAAACAGTTCAGGATCTCATGCTTATTTGACACAGGAACAGAGTTAACGAGAAGTTGTGATGGGAGGTCAGATGATTGGGGGGTGCCTGAGAGAGATTTGATGGTTTTCCAGAATCTGTTGGGGTCATTTAGATTTTTGGAGGTCTGAGATAAAAAATAGTTGCGTTTTGCTGCTTTGATGGCAGTTGTGCATTTATTCCTCATCTGTCGAAAACTCAACCAATCAGTATCTGAGTCAGATTTTCTCACTGCAGCCCAAAGATGATCTCTCCTGTGCAGGAGGTCAGCTAACTCTGGAGTAAACCTGGGGCTGTCTCGTCCCTTTATTCTGAACTGACAAAAAGGAGCATGTTTGCTTTAATTTACTTGCATAGATTTTATTGTGGAAGCTACAGAGCATTTAAAAGTTGTGCAGAAATTAAATTAATTTGGATTTACTGATTTAATATCCCGAAGAATACTACTTTTTTCATCATGTTCTGTTCTCTTGGGCACTGATATATAAGACCTGTGCAGTGAAATCAGGTGCTGAACTACCATTCATTCAACCTTTATTTAAACAGATAAATCACATTGAGCCTCAAAGACTCATTTACAAGTGAGACCTGTTTGGACAGACAAAAACAGTGGTTAACTGGACACATGTAGGAGTTGGAGGCGAAAAAAATTCCTATCAGACTTTTTTTTCTGCCTGAGGGAAAAAATCTCTAATATAAAAAAAAAACACCTCGCACAAACAAGCACATATTTACGTAGACAATCTACAGACGGGGGAGACGAGAGCGGTCAGCAATGTTCATAGATGCTCTCGAGGTAACTGTAAGAGTTCTGATAAGGATGTAATAATCATCCAGTGTCCTCCGGTGAGGTCCATAAACATTCTCGAGGTATGTCAAGGAATGGCCAAGAATAACGTCTATGAGAATCCAAGAGTCCTGAAATGATGACACAAGTTTATTCAGCTGGTTTCATCTGGTTATCAGTTGGAAATTCCTCAGGGAGGGGGTGGTGAGCGTCAGATCACATGTTCTCCAGGCGAATTCAGATAAACACACTGTTGTTTTCAATTCAATTCAAATTCAAAAATACTTTATTAATGTAGATGAACATATACTGTGATATATTCATAAATTAAACGGATTCATTCATTTTTCTGGACTGAATAATATCGTGCATTGAATTTAATTAAATGTAACGTGAGACGTTAATTTTCTTTGACCCATCAAATGAATGTGGTCATTTATTTTCAGAATCAAAATTTAACATCAAACATTTACATTAATTTGGCAAAATTGAAAACAACAACAGCTTATTAATCAGCTTTACAAACAGGAAAACCATCCGGCCATGATTTTCCTTTGCTTCACAACAGACATTTCTAAAAATATCTGGAATGATTTCTAGCAGATAGAAGAGTTTTAAAGATGGGAAAATGAAGTTTAGGGGGAGAGGAAAAGATGGATGAGGGAAATTTGTCAGTATCAGCAACAGCACGCTCCGTTGAGATCCCAGCTTCTTCCTCGGTACACTTAGGTGGTGTAAATCAACTCTTTACCTGGAGGAGATGTCTCCACTGGTACGAAGTTCCATTCAACGCACCCTTTCAACGTCTCCGTAGGAATAGCTGTGAATCGTCCGAAGTAGTGACGGTACTTGTTCGACACAAGTTCACCTCCCGGTGGACTCACAAGAGGAGTAAGTCCGTCAGAGTTCCACTCAGATGTGGAAGATTGCATAATTCCCACAAGACTCGGAAGAACTCCGGCTCATGTCTGGAACTCCTGTTCTCTCCAGCGTTCCGCACTCTCCTCCAACACGACTCGAGCTCGACTGGAGCTGCTCTCTGCAAACGACTGAAGCTGGTTTGAACTAGGAAGTACCGACATTTAAAGAGTTCTATTTCCGGTTCATTTGGGAGGTTCCTGATTGGTCAAATCGACCAGACAGGGGTGTGTTTTTGTGACGTAAGAGGTCACTAGAAGTCAGAAAAACAGAATATGTTTTGGAACAGATTGAAAATGTTTTAGAGACTGTATTGTGAAATTCTTTATCAAAAGGGCTCGTGAAACGGTCGGCAC